ATGTTACGATGGATGTGTGGTGTGACAAGGATGGATAAGATAAGGAATGAGTATATAAGGGGAAGCCTGAAAGTAGCGCCAGTGGTAGAAAAGGTGAGAGAAAGCAGATTGGCATGGTTTGGGCATGTGATGCGGAGGGATGAAAGTCATGTCACAAAACGAGTGTTGAATATGAATGTGGAGGGACACACGGGCAGAGGAAGGCCGAATAAAAGATGGATCGATTGTGTGAAGACTGATATGAGAATGAAAGGAGTAAGTATGGAAATGACGGCTGATAGAGAGGAATGGAACAAGAAGATTTACTGCGCCGACCCCAGATAATGGGAAATGGTTTAGAGAATGAGATGATCCTGTATGATACTCTGAACGCTCTTTTGGGAAATAAGTGATAAATAAGTAATATGACCTTATTTCAGAGTAAGTTAAATTTACTTAAACGCCGTCAATTTAAACATCCTTTGCTATTTAAAGTAACTGATAACACATAACATAAAGAAATGGGAGTACGATAAAATTTCTTTTAATATAACTACACTGCTATGCTGAAGTAAAATTATTTCAAGGACATATTTTTTATTTTCCATTTCCACATGTCTAGCACAAGAACTTCATCGGTGATCAGATAATTTACTAAGTTGTGCAAGTTGAACGCAAGAGTGTAATCAACACGTTTAATAATTGAAGTGTATAGTTCGTATAATACAATTATTAAGAAGGCGCTCCAGCTTGTTCTGAAGATTTTGGTTCGCAGCGATTGATTCAATTCAACATAACGGGCATTATTATTTCGTCACATTATTCATAGATATATATATATCTATATATATATATATATATATATATATATATCTATGTATATATATGTGTGTGTGTGTGTGTGTATTTTATATACATATATAAGTTTAACAGGAAGCGGAAGCAACATGTGGCTGTTGAGTGAGCCGTATGCCGCAACCCGATTATAAAGATTTGTAACAAGTGATAAAACTATCAGTTCCGCACAAGTTTATTATTTTTATTTTGTTTTTTAGTCTATATTGCTACACTTTTACCTACAAGAACAGTTTAAAAGGTTATGCTTAGCGTCTAAATAAATAATTTTGGAGCTACACATACCTCTTATGAATGAGATCCACGGTTGAGCGGGCCAATAAGGAAATACTAAGATGCCTTCTGCGCCATCTGTCTTGATCTTTCAAAGGCACTTCAAAATTAATGTAAATGGTGAAAAAGCGTGGTGTCCAACTTACAGTAAAAGCATAAAGGAGAAGTATGGTGTCCAACTTACAGTAAAAGCATAAAGGAAAAGTATGGTGTCCAACTTATAGTAAAAGCATAAAGGAGAAGTATGGTGTCCAACTTATAGTAAAAGCATAAAGGAGAAGTATGGTGTCCAACTTATAGTAAAAGCATAAAGGAGAAGTATGGTGTCCAACTTACAGTAAAAGCATAAAGGTAAAGTATGGTGTCCAACTTATAGTAAAAGCATAAAGGAGAAGTATGGTGTCCAACTTATAGTAAAAGCATAAAGGAGAAGTATGGTGTCCAACTTATAGTAAAAGCATAAAGGAGAAGTATGGTGTCCAACTTATAGTAAAAGCATAAAGGAGAAGTATGGTGTCCAACTTATAGTAAAAGCATAAAGGAGAAGTATGGTATTCAACTTATAGTAAAAGCATAAAGGAGAAGTATGGTGTCCAACTTATAGTAAAAGCATAAAGGAGAAGTATGGTATCCAACTTATAGTAAAAGCATAAAGGAGAAGTATGGTGTCCAACTTATAGTAAAAGCATAAAGGAGAAGTATGGTGTCCAACTTATAGTAAAAGCATAAAGGGGAAGTATGGTGTCCAACTTATAGTAAAAGCATAAAGGAGAAGTATGGTGTCCAACTTATAGTAAAAGCATAAAGGAGAAGTATGGTTTCCTACTTATAGTAAAAGCATAAAGGAGAAGTATGGTGTCCAACTTATAGTAAAAGCATAAAGGAGAAGTATGGTGTCCAACTTATAGTAAAAGCATAAAGGAGAAGTATGGTGTCCAACTTATAGTAAAAGCATAAAGGAGAAGTATGGTGTCCTACTTATAGTAAAAGCATCTACTGTAAAAAAATCCGGATTTCGTTTGCATAATACATCATACATTTTACATTTTATCATTTAGAGAAGCGAAGAGATCTCTGTCTGGTTTTCTTAAAATATCGGCAATACTCTGAACTGTTAGACATTACTAATTCCGTATCTACATTTTTGTTGCGAGATTCTTCATCAGATTCTTTATTATCCTTTGACTTTATGTATGATGTATACAGCCATATTCTTCGCTGCTCACACCATTGCCAAATTTCTCTTGTGATTTTGTTCAAGTGAGAATATTTTATTGTAAGGATATACATATGTATAAGGAAATATTTTTAGTCCAAAGGACACTGCTTTGACTTCTAAATAATTAATGTGAAACTCAAGTTCTTCCGTTTTCCACTTACTCCCCAGTGCGTACATTATTACAGAAAGCACCCCAGCCTTGTTTTGATGCATCAGAAACTATTCCTAAAACAAAGGTTGGTCTCTATTTAATTTTTATAAATATAAATATTCTTAGACCACCAAAGAAGATCTAGCAATATATCGGTAGGAGTGAAATTGGCGTTAGAATTATTATGAAAATTAAACAAAGCTAACAGCTGGAAATGCTGCTGTCAGAACTCCTATTAAATGTGCAAATTCTTTAATGGATGCACCATGAGGCAGCAGTAGCAAATATTTTTGGACAAGTCTGAATATATAATTCTGCCTTTCAATAGGTAAACTAATGGACATATCTATAGAATTAAAAATTAAACCTAGATATTTGCGCTGATTTACAGAATTTAAATTACTTTTCTCATAATTAATAGTAAAAGCTAGACATTATAAAAGTATATAAGAGTTTCAGTTATATTTTTTTGACATTCTTCAAAACTAGATCCTAAACACATTGAACTAAATTGTACTCGGAAGAGTGGTGCCATCTTTGGGCCAAATATGGGTAGATATCTTCTCCATATGATATCTGTTCAGCAACCAGCTCTCCCAAAGCTATTAAAAATTCTGGGTCTAAGGAAGCCAACGCCTGTCCGAAGATCGGCGCTGCTTCTGTGTTCTCACTTCAGCTGAATTTGGAAGATTTTCATACGTGATAATAATCCAACTGCATTATTCTCGGTAACATTGGTTTAGATTTTTGGAACAAACATTTTTAGTGTAAGAAAGTGGGTAAGCAAACAAATTATGTTCCGCAACGCATAAAATTTTCATATTTTAGCATTTTAATTAAGTAATAGTTTTTTTGCTAGCTGATTGACTCGCGGTCAATTCTGTGCTAAGTAATGCACCATTCGGCTAACTCTCGGTTAACTTTCAGGCCATAATTCATTTTTAGTTGACTCACGGTCAACTCTAGTTACGTAAATTACATACAATGTTTATAATAGGGAAAAGCACGTAAACTAACGCAAAATAAATGCTTTACCAGATTTTTCTTGGCAATCAGACGAATGCGAGTACACAATGATTCGCCTAAGACGTTTGTGTTCTTTAGTTTGTAATTTCTTAATCTTTTTCCTACAAAACGCAATTTGGGCTTCGGCACTTCATTTCGGCATTATTATTGTAACCGACGCGTGTGATTCGCGCACAGTAAAAGAATTGAAAAGAATGAAGCAAGCAAGCAAGATGAGTGACGGGAACAAAGTAAGGTAGGGATAGGAAAGTAATCGAGAGTTGAAATCGATTGTCAAATCGATATTTAAAAATCCGAAAATGCGTGCGAGTCATCGCCCAAACAATGAAAGGACTACCTGTTAAGCTTATATATGTATATAAAATACATAATTTATATAACATCGATATCTTCGAATAATGTGACGAAATAATAATGTCCGTTATTGTGTTGAATCAATCGCTGTGAACCAAAATCTTCAGAACAAGCTGGAGAGTCTCCTCAATAAACTATTTATTTATTTACACTTTATTGCACCTTAATAAAAAGGATTACAAACAGCGGACGTAATGCCTTTAAGCATTCTCTCCCAGTCAACCCGGGAAATATTTTGTCTTCCGAAATATGACCGTCCATATCTCTCATAATCATAGTCGCATGAAACAGCTCACTTACGGCAAAGAAAAATCTCTAGAATTCTGCTTGTTCTTTTCTCAATTTTGAATAATGGAATAAAAATGATCGCCAATTATAAAAAGTTGTTGTTAATTGTTATGAGGTGCCAGTGTAGTAAATTAGGTGTTTTTTATATGGTTGTAGGTCGGATAATAAAGTTAAGCAACATCGCGTGGCCGCGATGAATAGGAGGCGCAGGGCGGCGAGCCGCAATTGACGTACAAAAGCGTATTGTTCGCGCGAGAGCCGCTCTTCCGGCGTAGGATCTCGCTCCGGCGCGGAGTCTGTGTACATTGCGCGTGATTTGCACTCTCGCATATTATGATTTGTATAATTACTAATTAATCAGCGGGTCAGGAGATCGATCAGTGCCGATACGCGTGTAGGTCGAATCGGACGAGTGCTAGGTGTGCACCGCGCCGCTGAGAGCCGCTGGCCGGGTGTCGCCGCCGTGACAGCGCTCGCCTCATTCGCCAGCGTGCGAGCGAAGAGGAAGAACCGCGACCTTGCTCGTCCTTGCGCCGCGATAAGCTGAGCCTGGGGTCTCGTGGAAACTTCAGGCGGGGTCGGGACCCCGCTATCGCGCTCTTTTAACCGTTCGCCGCGTCGCGTCAGCTTCACTCATCTCGTGCACTTCTGTTCGGTCAGTACCTCGTGTTATACTGTGCTACACGCTCTTGGAGTCGCGTTGGCGAATCGTGGACAAATCGGTGTCGTCTTTAGAGGTGAGCGGGCGTCGATCGCGATTTGCTAACGGACCGTGAAGTTGAGATACAAGTTGAAATTGTGTGGAACTGACGGCAATCATTCGGTTGCAGATAGCCGTTGGCAAGCAAGTGCACGATGCCCGGCGCAATGGTGAACGGCACCGGAGCGGCCGTCGACGACGTGGTGCTGACGGGACTGTCGGGCCGCCTGCCCGAGTGCGACAACGTGGATGAGTTCGCGCAGAAGCTATTCGACGGTGTCGACCTCGTCACAGCAGACGACCGCCGCTGGACACCAGGTACGTATCCCTTGCGCCTCGGAACAAGTATTCCGTAGTCATGTATTCATATTTTTATTTTATAGCATTCTGCCAATTAAACTTAATTATTAACAAAGGGACTAAATTTCAGATTATTAATTAATATGCCCATCATCCATATAATATGGAATCTCTGACCCGTCTCCTGTCTTATTGATGCTTGTAATTCGTGTCTCGCAATTTCTAAATATTTTTTGCATGTGCTGTGTAATGAGTTGTATAAAAGTGACTTCAACTTCGTGTAAATTACTAATGTTTCTTATCAAGGTAATAAATTTTATCATTTAAACATCAAGTTCAAGTGACCCAGCATTACACGCCATAGCGTCATGCTAACTGATGTAACTTATTAATTGATTACTGCTTTTGTCCACTGGATCATGTATTCCGACAGTAAATGTTAGGAATTAAATTATGAAATTACCGTTTAACGAATACTTTTTTTTTCCGAAGAAAAAAATATTTTAATATCGAAGTATTTACCTCATTATCCATACATTTATGCCTTCTCGAATGGAGATAATTTATGCTTTCGCGTTAGAACTCTTGGGATTTAATATATAAAACAACATAAACACAAGCCTGTCACCAAGAGGGATAAGCAGAGACTACAAACTTCCATTTGGCACGATCCTGACACACCTCTCTCGCCTCCTCCACATTCATATACCTACGCATACATGCTCTTCGGTTAAAGGTACTTTTAATTTGACCCATTTTCAATATATCGCTAATTTCGTCGATAAACTTTCGCCTATAACGTCCCTTTCCGACTCTGCCGTTGATTTCTGCAACATAAATATGCTTTGTCACTCTTTTCTCATTCATTAGTTAGACATGACCAAACCACCGAAGCGTTCATTCCTTAATCCTGGTCACATCATATGCAGACCACACTTCTCTTATCAGACAATTTTTTTAATGAGACGGGGCGAACGAGCACGCGGCTCTCCTGGTGGCAAGTGGCGAGTGGTTACCGCCGCCCACGAATAACTGCAACACCAAAGGAATTGTAGACGCAAGGAAATTTCAAAACACAATTTCTCACCTTGTCCCTCGGATTTAGCTCTAACACTCCTTAACAACTGAATTTCTACTACGGTTATTCTACGCTCGTGCTTCTTTTTCTGCGACACCCAACTTTAACGTTTAAGTAGGGACTAACAGCTTTGTGAATTGCCGTACGTGCTTCTTTGAACGCATTCTTTCTTTCCACAATAGAGTGTAGAGCCCCATTTACTCTTTCCTGCGTTCACTAGTTGTTAAACTCATCTACTTGTTCAACCAAATCCCCTTTTATTATTATTTCACATATCGTTTTTACTTTCTTCTCTTTCAAAAACTATAACTTTCTTCTTACTTGCCCTAACTTTCATCCGCCTTTTTTCAATGAACCAGTTCATTAATGTTACCATCATTTGCAACTCGACCGCCGATGACACAAATATGACTTGATCATCGGCGTACCAAAAGCATTTGACGGGTTAAATAACTCATTCTTAACCCACATTCTTCAATTTTCAAAATTTCCAAACACCTGTTCATAGATTGGTGACACTTTTATGGATACCGAACCAGTCTCCAGATTAAGGTTCTATAAAGTCATTAAGCCATTTTATACCACCTCCCGAGTACAACCCTTTTTCTTAAAATTGTTCAAATTGCGGATGAAATGGTAATCAGTTAGGGCTATGTCTGACGTGGTATGGCGTATGCTTTGTGACTGTAGGTCTTGTAATGTTAAAACGGTTTGTCGAGCAGCCATCATTGTCCGAAGTTCTTTAGAATAGATGTCTGCTGTTAGTGTTACACCGGATCTCAAAAAACTGTAGTGAATCACACCATGAGGAGACCACCAACCAGCGGCCTTTACTTTTCTTTGGGTAAGCTCCGCTTTAGATCATTTGACTAGGGTTCAATTATAAGGTTTCGGTTGCATTTATATTGCACGCTCTTCAGCACACGTCACAATTCAGTCGGAAATCTCATATCTTTGACTACTCACCAAAGCTAGGCAAGCTTCAGATGGTCAATGGAATGGGTGGAAGGTCAATGCCTAGTACCATTTCATGCGTTTTCAAAGAAATTACTCACCCTAGTAGTAGAATTATTGGTTCTGTCCAAGTTCTCTCTGATCGAACCTTTTTTCTTTGACGGCATGTCATGCGCTTAAGTGATGCTTAAGTGTTGACTTGGACGAGCCGTTTCAAGTGGTAGGTCCACGTAACATATGTATATAGATGCGCCAAATAATAGGGATTACATTACGTTCGTTAAATACAAAGCGTTCTTACAGTGCATGAAATTTTTTAAGTGTAAAACGGACTTAACCAGTGGGTAAAGCACCGCAATCAAAATCAGAATCATTCATTTTGTGGATCATGGGTATTACTTAAAAGATAATTACATATATAATTGAGATCAACTATATCCTACGTAATTAGTTATTTATTTGATAATAATCTCCTCCAGACCGAATTTCTGTCGCGGCGACCAGCCGTTTGCGCGCGACAGCACAGGGTTTAGTAGCCGAGTGTTTGCGCGAGTACAGGTGCATTATCTGTCCCCTCACTCTCATAGTCCGGTCCAGTCCATCAGGCGCAGGTCCCACAGCTTCACGTGCACGTCCACTTCCTGACTCTTGGCTGCTACTGAGATTTTCTTATCAGAAAACTCAATAAGTGATTTGGACACGACGCGGGTTCGAACCCATAACCTTAAGATCGCGCTTACGACCACTAAACCAAAAAGGCATTCAGTTTCCTTGGACACTATATTTAAGATTAAAATTAAACTACTGTATATTGTGAACTATTCAGTGTGTAAAGTAACCCAGAATATCAAAAACCCGTGGTTTTAGTTTTATTATTTTTAACATAAGTGAGTATTGGCCATTTTGTAGAACTACTCTTTTTCTAGTTTGACGATCCACTCAGTACGATGCTTATCAAACGTTTCCAATTCTTAACCTTGACTTTGTTCAGTTTATCAAAATAATGACGTAAGGCCACTGAACGAAAATAACTATTTTGCGATTTCATATTAAATCAAATTAGGCATACTCCCGTTTTCCTTGCGGTCCGTTCTGAATGATATCGGCGGGCTGTCCGTTTACAATACTTGGTTTTCCTTATTTTTCATAAGCTTCTGGGTTTTCAGCGATCTGGAAAGTCCGTTCCATTTGAAACATGTATACTGTTTTACAACTAATGTCCCAGTTTTAATATTGTGTACAGTATAATAAACACATTTACAAAATATTCACTCGTGTAGCTAATGACACTAGATTCGTAATAAAATAATGAAAGGTTATAAATAGTTGTTTAGTTATTTTATATGGACATTTAATTAAAACAAGGGGGACACCGAGACATTTCGCGTTTATCCTGTTACACCTCCTGCCTCGCGTGACGAACAAATAAACAGGTAAACTCACTCGATAACGCGGCTAAAATTCACAAAACGACGCTAACAGGACAAATTGTTGAATGTTTCTACATATTTTAATTGGTGTTACATCTACGCTTGGGACTTTAGTAATTTGCATAAATTGATTGCATCAAGGAAACAATAAATAAATTAAAAATTAGCTGAGCTTGGAAAAATGGCCGCGTTTCAAGCGTATGCTTTACTTATATCTTGTATTCTACTTCGCGCTATGTAATTTTTATTTTATAGCGTCGCAACATCGTGAACAAATTGTGTTCGCTCAATGTTCATCCAGCAGTCATCGCATAAACTTGCTCGGAGCACGTTGCAGCTGCTGCCGCACGGGCGGGCTGGTGTCGGCCGATCAAAACTGACATGAGATGGTGCTTTATTGACGAAAGAAACGCTTTGCTAATAATATGTATTCATTCATTCATTCATTGCAGCCTATTGAACGTCTACTGCTAAACAGTGGAGCCTCTCTTATAGATTGTCTCGTATAAGGAATTTTTGCCGAAGCGTTACAGTAGCGTAACAGTACGTTTGCAGTAGCGTCGAAGATACTGCTGCCCGTCTCCCTTTCCCGCACCCAATGGCATAATGATCTTAGTGGAGACCGATGCTGAAAAAATCTACCTTCAACGAGGACCTACCTGCACGCTTTTGCATGGACGGTAAAAGTAATAATTATAATGATTATATCATGTTTTCTAATTACAATTTCAAGTTTGATTGTAATTAACTCTCTTACACAATACTGCGGTAATAAAATAATCATTGAATTAATTAGTGAAGATAATTACGCTGTCATTAATTGTGTGACTAACAAATAACTTGATGCTTAAGGAGCAAAGTTTTAAAAATATCATGTGTACTAATTGTTTCATGCCTGTAATTAAAAACTATTTTCCTAGTGATAATTCTCAATGCCTCAGTATTGTTTAATTATTCTCAGGAAATAATAAATTTGCTTAGCTTCTATTGTTGGATGCTACAATTTTGCGAGAGTAGATACATGTATATGGAACTAGGTACGAGTACACAGCACGGCGCAGAGATTGTAGTATGAGACAGGTAATATTTATATAGTTCGTGAGTAACGATCCAAGAGCAAGTCTTAGTCTTATCCGACATTATTCCGATGACATCCCGGACGCGGTCAGAGCGAGATGAGAATGGCTCTCTAGTAGTGCAACGGAAGTTTCATATCAGAAGCAGAAACGGAAACAGAAACGGATGCGGAAACGGAAATAATACTTATTTAAAAAAAATTACAAATAAAACGTTTAATTAACATTCAAAATTAAGTAGCGGTAGGTCATATTTTATGAAAAGTAGTCCGGCCACTTTTACACCTAACAATCTGTTCCAGTGTTCTTCATATATAAGTCCAGCTCCGAAAAATAATAATTATTGCTGTAGCAATTATTGCTCACTGGCAATGCTGCGTACCACCTATACACCAAAGCTAAATAGGCACTGGAATTTGGGCAAACCCTTTAAATAGCTACATTTAGGTTTAGCGAGTAATTTAGTAAAGCCCTAGTACG